ATTCTGTATCTTAAGTTTGTTGAAGATTTTATCCACAGGCCCCAGAAGACAGGGCAGGAAGCTTCAGCCCCCTCTGATAGATGCTGAGGGTCGGGGAGGTTGTCTGGTTGACTTGTTCACAATATCGGGAATGGATGAATCTGAAGCCGGTTTGCTCTCAAAACCCATGGCTTGGTTTTCAGCCAGTTCCCCTGTCTGACCTGGTGATGATATTCCCATCAGTAAGTCCAGCCAATGCTGTTTTGCTAGGACTGTTTGACCAGGTGGGGCAGTGGCTGTTCTAAAAGGTGTGTTCAGAAACAGGTCTGTACCCAAGTCCCAGGGTTCATCCAAACACCTTCAAACATTCCTGACAGTCCCTGGCTTCCCTCAGTCAAGGGAAACATCCATCTTAAGGGTAATCAGCCAGAAAAACCTGTTTGCCAGCAAAATTTCATCATTTTTCACAAGGACACAGAAAGAGAGGGGGCCATGTGATTTGAACAGCCGTCAGCCTGAGTGGCAGGGAATACAATCCGACCTTCTTCCATCACTGCGGGACCACACTTCAGACTCAATGGCTTAAGTCCTCACTAGGCCACCATCAGGGAGGGACACGGAGGGCGAGAAAAGATCATGCACTGGGAAACAAGCAGGCACAGCAGGATTTCGACTTTGCCAGGCTGGGGTGAAAACTCAAGCTGTTTCCCTCTTGTCAGCCTTTTTGAATGAGAGGGCAAGATTTATGGCTAGCATCGGCGGGCGGCGTTTTACAGCCATCGCAAATGGATTTGAGACAGCAGAACAGTAGACTGCATTGACCACGAAGGCACCGTCATGACTCGTTTTGAGGCCTGTCCAGCATCACAGGCACAATAAAGAGGCGCTCCTGGTCAGTGAAGAGCACGAAGGATTCAACTGGAACCTTCCGGGACCAGCACTGTTAAACACGGAGCCAACTTGCTGAGGGTTTCAATATGTAAATGTTCTCGGTACGCTTGCCCAGCTTGGCAGTTTTTGTCCACTTAGCAAGATGTGCTTGCAGTGCAGGCAAAAGTCTGGAGGTCCAGCTGACGGGGGACTGCATATATTATTGATAAAAGCAAAGGAAAAATGGCTTGTGTCTGGGTAACACCTGGCCCAACAGGTTTACTGTTTACGTAGTGCATATTTGTGATTTACCTCTCGCTGCACGTGCTATCATTTCCCTGCGGATTGCCCATTTTCATCTAATTCAGTCTCTCTTTTTTGATAAGGATGATTCCTTCTGTGTTGAATGAAATACAAATTATTAATAGAAAACATTCCTCTATATTAATGTATTTAAAAGGGATCCTAAAAAAAGATATTCTGGCATGAATAATATATTTTAAAAAACAGACGAAAGTGATACATCAGTGAAAATTATGCATACACTAGTGTGTGTGTGTGTGTGTGTGTGTATATGTATATATACACATGTGTATTAATCACTTGGATACATGTTGTTACCATGGTGACTTATGAGGAGAGGAAATAGGAGAGTTATGGAGAGAGTTATGGGAGAGAATATTACTTTTCACTCTCCTGTTTCGTACCTCCTAGATTTGATACCCTGTAACATATACACACAAGGCTTCTCAGGTGGCTCAATGATGAAGAATCCGCCCCGCCAATGCAGGAGACACAGGATACGTGGGTTTGATCCCTGGGTTGGGAAGATTCCCTGGAGAAGGAAATGGCAACCCTCTCCAGTATTCTTGCCTGGAGAATCCCATGGACAGAGGAGCCTGGCGGGCTATAGTCCATGGGGATCGTGAAGAGCCGGACACAGCTGAGCATGTGTGAAGGCATGCACATATGCACACAACCCACTCAAAGAAAACAATACTTTTATCTATTCTAAGAATATGTATGGGGGGAGGGGACAGAGGAAAGTGATTATTATCAGAGTTTGTTACTAAGTTTTTCTCTAGATTTCAGATTTATCCCATAAACATATTTTAAATTTTTTATCAGGAAAAACAAACAAACAAAAAAACCTGTGCCCCCTTGTAACTAATGCATCCATAGATGACACAGTTCCAAATAATTTATAGTTGCAAGTAGATTCACCTCCAGTTCTGATTTCCAAGTTCAATTCCACATAGGAAAACAGTGTCTTTAGGTAAATATTTATGTGAAAATAATAGTGTCCTTGTTTTTGTTTTCAGAACATGGGTCTGGAGTGTCAACGTGGGAAATATGGTGATTAAACGTACATTTGGAAAGGGGTATACGTGTGTGGGGAGGTGGGGGTGAGACTGGAAATACTTAAAGGTAGTTCAGGCCTGCGGCTCTGCACAGTGGGGCAGCCCGGCCCTCACCACTGATACACCTCCACGCTCACCTCTGTAGGGGACCAACCGGGACCCCAGGACCAAGACCAGCTGAGCTGGTCGCCGGAGAACGGAGGGCGGGTGCAAGGGCTTCCTTCATAGCTCAGCTGCTAGAGAATTCACCTGCAGTGCGGGAGACCCCGGTTTGATTCCTGGGTCGGGAAGATCCCCTGGAGAAGGGAAAGGCTGCCCCCTCCAGTATTCCTGGGCTTCCCTGGTGGCTCAGCTGGTAAAGTATCTGCTTGAAATGCAGGAGACCTGGGTTCGATCCCTGGGCTGAGAAGGTTCCCTGGAGAAGGGAAAGGCTACCCACTGCAGTATTCTGGCCTGGAGAATTCCATGGACTATATGTATAGTTCATGGGTTCTCAAAGGACAAGACTGAGCGACTTTCACTTGTGGCGGTAAAAGGGTTTGCCTGGAAGGGAACCCAGAACAGGGAACAGCCCCCACTGTCTTCCTCCTGTTTTCTTTCTTGTTTTTTTTTTTTCTTCCCCCTCTATAAACAAGTGATTAATGCCTTGCAAAAAAGCCCAGGCACACCTTCCCCACTGCAAGCAAGCCCCTGCCAGATTCCCCAGCCTTAATTCTGCTGTTAACACTCATCAGGGGGAGGGGTAAAGAGTAAATCCTCTCCTTCAAGAAGCAGACCTGGGGGCAATGTGGTTTGTTTAAAGTCTCCCGTGTGCTCTGATGGTGTGAGGACTTTGACATGAAAAATGAAAGCAGAAACAATGCACTTTTCCCTAAAGCAGCTTCAAGTTTGTAAACCCTCTGTGCTCAGGATTCTCCCAAACCGACCTTCCCTTCTCCCAGCACTGGTGAAAAGTAGGGGGTGATGGCGGGGTGCTGGGGTGGGGTCCCACAGATTGATCAACATTTTCAGAGAGCTTCACGGGCTCCTTTTTCATTTTGTTTGCAAGAGGCAAACTGAATTTCCTGACTGAATGCAGAAATAAATTCCTTACACCTGAAATGAACACAGCATTGTAAATCAACCGTATTCCAATAAAATTTTTAAAAGGGAAAAGAAATTCCTGACAAAGTTGCCTACAGCCATTAGGGATTAGGAATGGACTGACCACCGACTGCAGGAAGAAATTCTAGGCACATTTGTTTTCAAAGGTTATCTCTTTTAATTTCCAGTTGAGTGCAGTTCAATTATATATCATATGTCAAATTCAGTCGAAGAGGTTTATCATTGAAAAGCATGAACATGTAGATAGTGGACGATGTCTGCTCAAACCTTAGCATTTACTGATGTGGTGTCCTCTTGAGAAATTTGGGAGTATTTCACATAATGAAGATGAAATGAAAGAAATGAATATCACTATTGTGCAAACCCTTAAAGAAATGACGGATCCATGCCGAAAATGGTCTTCAGCGGCTGCTCACAAACCGAGAAGAGAGACAAGTGGTTTTGTGAGTCTTTTGGTAGAAGTACACGCCACCAGGAGTCCCCTGGCTGTCCAGCGAGTAGGACTCTGCAGGTCCACGGAAGTGAGCACAGTTCAATCCCTGGTCAGGGAGATCCTGCAAACCACGCACCATGGCCAAAAATAAATAGTAAAAGCAGAAGTACATGCTGTCATCCATGTTGCCAAAAGATTCAACTCTGAAGCTCACCAAATATCTCTTTCTACCCACTAGTCTACAGGAAATGCAGGGGACAGAGAAATGTAGCAAATGATACTATGGGTGGGCAAATGGTAAGAGCCAGAATGATTCCATTATTTCCATTTACAATTTTTTTCAGGGGAAAAAAATGGGAAGTGGATGTGAGAGATATAAAATCAGAATCAGTGTAGACCCAACTCTGAACCCAACTGTAACAGTCCAAATGCAATAAAATAAGGAGGATGGAGATGGTTGAGAAACACTGAGCACTAACACTTTGTTTCACAAAAAAACCCAGTGATTGCTTATGGGGTCCGTATGTGATAACAGTCTTGTGGCTGTTTTTTAAATTTTTTTATTCTTGTCTTTTGGAGCTGCATAGTGAAGTATTTAGAAATGAAATGATACAGTGTCTGCTTTTGCATTAAAACAATCCAGGGAAGGTATATCAATGAAACAAGATGGGCCATGAGTTGATAATTATTGAACTGGTGGTGGGTATTTGGGAGCTCCTGCTGCAGTCACTCTGTTCTTTTGTGTTGGAAATTTTTCATTAAAAATGTTTGGATGCATGTGTTTGGGATCTGGAAAGATGGTGCTGATGAACCTATTTGCAGGGCAGCAATGGAGACACATAGGGAACAGACTTCTGGACACAGTGAGGGAAGGAGAAGGTAGGACAGTTGAGAGAGTAGCATGGATTAGTAACATCTATTGCCGTATATAAAATAGATAGCTAGTGGGAATTTGCTGTATGACGCAGGAAGCTCAAACCCGGTGCTCCATGACAAGCTAGCGAGGTGAGATGGGGTGGCAGGCTGGAAGGAGGTTCCAGAGGGGTGGGATATGTGTATCCCTGTGACTGACTCATGTTGATGGATGACAGAAACCAGCACAATACTGTAAAGCAATTATCCTCCAATAAAAATTTTTAAAATATATATATAAGTTTAGAGATCACTAACTCAGACCACCACAAAAACAAGTAGATATTGGACCTCCTACTCTGGACCAAATGGTGCCAAGGATCAGACTGGTTGAGAAGGAGTGAAGAAATCTAATATTTATTGCTTATCACTTCTGTGCCAAGTATTAGGATAAATTATCTCTCCTGAAGAATCTTGTCTTTCCTGTTGATCAACTGCGGGTGACTGATCTGTTTGGCTCCATTTTTCAGATAAGTAAACTGAGGCACAGACCACCAAACTGACTTGCCATATGATCCCAAGAGAAGAACAGGTGCTGATGAGCTAAGTCGTGTAGCCATTAGGAATTTTTCTTTTCCTCTGTGACCTTGGACAATTACTTCTCTTGTGTGGGCCTCAGTTTCCCCAGTCTTCAAAGACAGAGCTGAGAATTCACAGGGTCAAGTTTACCTATTGGTCTTCTGCTACTCCTCCATGACCTTCCTGCTTCTTCCTTTCTTCTGTCTTACCGGGAATGTGTCTGAGGCAGCCTGAGATAGAAGAAAGAGCAATTGAGTCCTGGGTTCAAATTCTAACTCTGCAATAGGCAGACCTTCGTGAGTCACTTAACCTCTCTAAGCCTCACCTTCCCCAACAATAAAACAGGGATGAAAATAAGAAAGACCTAGAATGATGGAGATGATGGATAGAGGTACCCGGCTCAGAACCCAGGATACACCAGGTGTTCAGGTAGAGCTGGGTCTCCCACACCTGTCTTCTCTCTCATACTTCCTTTAAAAGTGAAGCCCCCAGGACTTTTCCTGGTAGTCCAGTGATTAGGACTCTGAGCTTCCACTGCAGGCAGCATGGATTTGATCCCTGTTCAGGGAACTAAGATCCTGCATGCCTCGTAATGCAGCCAAAAAAAGAGAAGTAAATAAAAAGTAAATGTGGCTGATTCACGTTGCTGTATGGCGGAAACCATCACAATATGGTAATTATCCTCCAATTAAGAACAAAATGAAATTTAAAAAAAAAAAGTAAAATATAATAAGGACTTTCCCTGGCAGTGGTTAAGACTGCCCTTCCAATGCAGGGCCATGAGTTCGATCCCTGGTTGGGGAATTAAGATCCCACTTTCCACATGCTGCATGTCATGGCTAATCTTTTTTAAAAATAAATAACTAAAATAAAAATGAAGCCCCCACCCCCCACTCACAACTCCTTTTTCTGATTTTTTTGTTTTTGTTTTTCATTTGATTCCTCACTACCAGACATTTATTTTCCCTGTCTGTTTTTGTTTCTTTTCATTTGCTCTCCTGATAGAAGGTCCTCGGGGACAATTATTTTTATGTGCTTGGCTGCTGCTATATCCTTAGCCTGAGACACATACATAGTGGACGCTTGGTAAATATTTGCTAAATGAAGGAATGAGTTGAAAAACTGAATATTAGACCTTGTAATGGGAACTTCAGGTAACACAAGCCAGGAATAGAGCATAGGTCTTGCACAGAGTAGCTGATCCATAAATGCTTTTGTTCTCCTTTTGCTGGGACCCCAGGATCTGCTGAGGTTCCCTTGTTCAGTGTTAAGCTACACTTGATTTATGTGAGGGTGTTTTGACGGTTTCCAGCATTCCGGTTTGTGGTTATCCCATAAACAGGCCTCCAAGTGCCTGTCCCAGGAACTCCGAGTTCTTTAAGCTGTATTTCGCCAAGGATGGTGACAAGTACTGTCCTGGGGCCATTTGCAACTTCTCTTCCCTGATCACAGAGGTTTGACTAAGTGCTTTGTCTAAAGGCAGAAAATGCACCAGTCCTGTGTCTTAACATTTATGAAGGGGTTACCCGATGTTAAGGTCAGACCTGTCCGCAAATCCTTTGGGGCAAAGTAGCTGTGTGGGTATTACAGCGTTGGTGGAGGGGGAAAGGCAGCAATCCGTTAAGTAGGTGGGAAAGCAGACGTTTTGGAGGTTACAGAATTGCCCAGAACATCATCCCAGGGGCAGAGCGTGGGTATGTTACGATGGGGACACTGATGGTGGCCTCTTTGGGGAGAAAATTCCCCTCTCTGAGACAAACCATCCCAAGCCAGACCTCTCTCTTCCCTCTGGGCCTGTTGAGAAATATTTCTTGAAATGTTGTTGATAATGCCTTTCCTTTCTGCCCGAGCTCGTGGTATCTGGCGATTGCATCAGCTCTCAAAGCTGGCCTATTTCCCATGAGAACCTTCTTCTGTCCCTCACAGAAACCAAGAGCCTAAGTTATTCCCTCTGCACTTCAGGGGTGCTTACCCTGGTGTCCTCCAATGAACTCTTCCAGGGGTGTCCCCAGAGGGAATTCCGGGATCTGTGAACTTGGGTGACTTACAGTGAAATTAGTATTTTCTTCCATTGTGAATCCAGGTGACCACCCCCAGGAGGACTCACACTGGCTGTAACATGGTCGCCAATAGCATCACAGATATTTTCATAAGCATATTACGGGCATGACCGAGACCCCCCAAATGTTGTTTTTGCTCATCCTGATTTCAAATGTACAGTATCAGAACCATGGCTAGATTGTCTGATTTAATGAATTTGGTACACATATATTACTATGCTTTTTTTTTTGGATGCAGTGTCTTAGTTGCAGCATGTGGGATCTTATGCAGTTTCTTTAATTGCAGTATGAGGGACCTTTAGTTTAGGCATGCAAACTCTCGGTGGTGGCACGCGGGATCTAATTCCCTAACCAGGGATCAAACCCAGGCCCCCTGCACTGGAAGTGTGGAGTCTTAGCCACTGGACCGCCAGGAAAGTCTCAATACTTTTATATTTTTAATATTTCTTTTCTTCAAAATTGTTATTCCATCTCTTGTAAAAGAAAAAAGAATTCTGAGGCGGTATCCACAGGCTTCACAAGATTGCCCAAGGAGTCCATGGCCCAGAAAGGTGGTAAAGCTATTAGTGGTGATGGAGAAAATGAAGGGAGGGCTTGAGCCATGATTCTGAGGCTCATAAAACAGCAGAATCTAGAAACCCTGAATCAGAGCAGAAGACTGCTTTGTGCTTCGGTACCATTAAAAAGAGAGCATACGGAGTAGTAATCTCCAAAATGTCAAAAGGGTACAAGGGAGGGTACTGAAAGTGGCATTATATGGGACTAAATCCCCCGGAAAAAGAACCGGTCCTCTTTCAATTCCTTTGTTTTTTTGTGTTTTTTTTTTTTTTAGCTGTGCCTTGTGGCATGCAAGATCTTAGTTCCCCTATCAGGGATTGAACCCATGCCCTCTGCAGTCGAAATGAAAATTCTTAGCCATTGGATCAGCAGGGAAGTCTCTCCTGCCCTGTCCCACTTCAGTTCTTTTTGGGACCTTCAGACTAAGTCCAGCCTCAAATGAGCACCCACCTACCTGTCTCGATCACCCTTCTAACAATTAGCGCCCTACTCAGAGCCTTGTCATATTGCTTTCTTTCCACCAGTTTCCACTTTCATTCTACTTCTGGTAAGTGAGACACAAATTTGATTTACGGTACCCAGATAAAGGTTTCAATTTCAACAAGTTAGGTGTTTTGAAAAAGTCAGCAGATGGAGATTTCCCTGGCGGTCAGGTGGTTTCAGACTAAGGTTTCACAGCAGAGGGTTTGGGATCAATCCCTGGTCAGGGGACTGAGATTTTGCTGGCCACACAGCATGGCCGAAAAAAAAAAGTGAGAAGATGCCTGAAATATACGTTAAGGAAATCATTGTGAAAGTTAGACCAAGATATATAAACATGAAGATGCTCTCACATCTCTCTCCTCCACCCAATTTTGTCAGTGAGGGAACCAAGGCTGGGTGCTTGCTCAGTGCCTGCTACTTCTCAGGGTGGAGAAGGAGGGACTTCCCCACCCCTCCACCCCCCACCCCAGTGGCCTGCAATCTGCCCGCCTCTCAGCCTCCTAGACCTCTTCAGGGCCAGGGCCAACCGGAGAAAGTCGGGGACTGGACTTCAAGTTCCCAGCATGGGTGTCAAACATGTCTTCTGAGTGCCCTGGCTCCAGGGTCCCCCGTCCTGAAGGGCCCGGCTGAGTGGGCCTTTCATCAGCCTCTGAGAGGTGGCAACAAGTGTCACCGCAGAATGCCTGCTGCCCACTGCCCCCACTTCTGCCGACCAGGTCGAGCAGCGCTGGGAGGATTGCAAGCAGGATTCCAGAGGCGTCTGGATATTATCAGTCAGTCGCTCAAACTGTCTGGCCGGTGGGCTGGGGTGGGGCTGGTGGCAGGGGGCAGGAACTGGCTGGAGGGTAGAGTTAGGAATCCCCACCCCACCCCCGGCACAGATTCCTGGGGCCAGACCCAGCTCCTTGCGGGGAGGCAGGGGGATGGCCGCGATGCACCGGCTGCAGGCTCCGCACCCTGCCCCGGCCTCATTAGCCGGTAGCACCAAGGGATCAGAAAGTCAAATGATGATATGTGTCTGACAGAGGAAACAGAGTAGGGGGGAGGGGGCAGCACTTGAGGATAGCAAGAAAAGAGGGGCTGGGAGGGGCTGGGAGGGGCTGGGCAGAGCTTTACCCTCTGGTCCACTTGAAGACTCCTGCTTCAAAACTAACCCTGATGGCTTCCAGACAAGTCGGCACCAAGGGTCATTTCTGGAGGCTGTAAGTGTTGTCGATGGCAGCTGTAAGGACAGGTGTAAATCTGTCCAGGCATTCCTCGCCACTCCCCCCGCCCAGCTTTCTGCACCTGAAGCAGGTCCCCTTTCTAACTACAAGCCCACTCAGGAGGCCTAACACATACATACTCTCTCTCTCTCTCTCTCACACACACACACACACACACACACACACAAGCAGTTAACACTTGGCCTGCCCTCGGGGTACAATTTTTTTTTTTAAGTGCTCCTTTAAAGCAAACTCTAGAAGCTGTTTGTTAAAGCAAAGCAAACAAGCCTTGCAAGGAGAGGAGGTGGAAACAGTGGGAGGAATGGGAATAAAAAGGAAATCTTTTTACTTGCTACCTTTGAAAATACCTCTCTCAGCACACTGGGAGACCAGTGAGGGAGACACGTGGGGTGAGAGGGAAGACGAGCCCTACTTTATTTGGTCAACTAGTTGGAGTGATGAGACGGGAAGTGGGGAGACTTTGCCTTAAACCAGGCTTTTCTCCAGTATCTAACCCTTCTCCTTGTCTCTCACTGCTCCCCCTCCCCCGCCCACCTGGTTGAACGAAAGTCTGCTTTCCCAGGTGTCACTGGGGACATTCTCCATCAGCACTCCATCCATCCCTCTCCAGAGGGAGCAGCTAAGCAACTGCGTGCACAGCCCCTCTCCATCTCGCCCAGTGCACTCTGGGAATCTGGAGGACTCCGGCAGAATTTTTCCTCTTCTTGGTCAACCTTGGACCCTACCGGCCCAACCATCCTTGTGGGCTTGGGTGGCTGTGCACTGGGGGAGGAGAGAGGCTTCCAGGCAAATCCGATAGCCAAGAGAGAAATGCGGCGACTTTTCCTGCAAGGACTGGGAGACTCTTAGCCACACACTCCCCCACCCCCACCCCAAAGGCCTTGTAAGGGGGCCCCTGGAAAC